GAGAACTGGTATAATTATCCAGTTTAGTGACGAAAGCAAGTTTAATTCATTTTTTTTACAAACATCATGATCATCATTATCAGACAGACTGAATAAATACTAATAAATATATATATATATATATATATATATATATATATATATATATATATATATATATATATATATATATATATATATATATAGAGAGAGAGAGAGAGAGAGAGAGAGAGAGAGAGAGAGAGAGAGAGAGAGAGAGAGAGAGAGAGAGAGATAGCAACCAATATAGTTTATACAATGGAGGAGGTTAGTTACAGTGTTTGAGGATGTTTTCTGCAAGACTTAGGTCTCTTGTTATGGCAGAGTCAATGCAAATGTTTATCAGAATCTCTTTCCGTAACATGCAGTTTAAAAAACAAAATGGCTAAAGCTGAGATTAAAATCTGGCTGAAAATCTCTGGAAAATTCAAAGCAACACAATTATTAGCAGGATTGTTTGCAAGGAATGCTCAGGAAACTAAGTCATCAAAAATGTACTAGTTTAATATACAAACAGGGTTGGACTTAACCAGGAATCAAAGTAAGCAGCAGCTTTGGGCCCCAGGGAATTATGGGCCCCCGACCAATGCTAAGAAGCATATATTAATCATTTAGTTCTTTTATACATTTTCTATCATATTGTCTAAAATCTTTCTATAATCATTAAGTTTTTTAAAACCAGGGACCCCAATCACTAGTGGAACATTTATTTTGTGCTGCACATGCAAATATTAAAATCTAATCACAAATATGGCTAATTAACTGTACATTGTTATGATAATCAGTGATCAAGCGGTTGCAGGTGTGTTTGATAAGGGTTGCAACTGAAATCTGCAGAAAGGTAGATCTCCATGAACAGGATTGGACACCCCTGTTTTAGACCCTCGCCTTGTCTTGTCTGTTTATTCCTGTCTGCTGCCTGCCTTTTTGACCATCTGCCTATTTATCGACCACGACTCAGGATTTCCTTTATACATCTGTTTTCCCCTGTTGACCATTGCTTGCCCTACCATCTCTGTATAATAAACCCTGCGTTTGGATCTGCACTCCCTTGTCCAGCATCACTTCCACATTACATACATAGTTAGTTTATGAACTTATTTTTTTATTAGTGAATTTATTGTATTTAATTTTGCTTTAAGAAAATAAAAGGTTCGACTTAAAATATATATTTTAACATCGCAGTTTATTTACAAAAAAATACAAAATTAATCTACAGAGAAAAAAATATTTACAGTATAGAAATAGAGTATGTTTTGAGTTTCAATGCTGGGGCCCCATACCTAAAACTGCTTAGGGCACCTAAATCACTGAGTCCGCCCCTATATACAAATTACCCAAGACATCCAGTACAGTCAGTCAACTGTGGAAGGGACTGAAGAAGAGCAGATCAAGATCACAGAAGTGCAAACAGAGTCTAGTGATGTGTGTGATACACTAGCAATGTCCAGATGTCCAGAAGTCATTCAAAGCCTGTGCACCTCCTACACATTTATGAAGGATATAACCTTTAGAAATTGTAGATGAATTATTTCTAAGCTATGTACAGCCATGGGTGTTCTCTAGTTTTGATGGTGTCATTGAAGCTCCTTGATTATTTAGTTAAACACTTATAATCTGAAAAAAATTTTTTAAATGCTTCTGAATCCTTCTCTTAATTTGATCTCTACTGAATGTTTTGCACTGAAAAATAAATGTGGCATATGGTTAGGTAATTAGGTCAGGCCACAGGGTAGACACATGTGTGCTTCCTCTGCAACAAAACACAACAGTTTGTACTGTGTCGGGCACACTTGTGTGAAGAGTGAAAGGTGAAAACTCATTGTGAGCTTTAGAGAAATGTCGCACATCAGCTCATGCGTGTTTGCACAACGGCAATGTGAGTTTGTGGAAGCGTGGATGTTTTATTTTCTGTGGTTCTGTACTCGTACTGTATGAGATATGCATGACCTATTTCCGCTGTTAGGGTGGGTTGGGGGAGGGAGTGCAGGGAGAAGGTGAAGACAGACATCAGAGTCATGGTCACATCAAATCTATTAAAGCATCACATCATCAGAAAGAAGCCAGTTCAGGGCAACCTATTTTGTGCTTAAAGTTCCTAAAAAATCTAAACTAACCATATGATTTTGTAAGCTCACATTGCCAATTTTGTTGTGAACATTTTATCTGTGCATACCAGTAAGGAAAAAAAAAACATAGTTTGTCCTTGTAATGTTTAATTGAAATCTGAAAATGCATTTCCTGTTTGTTTTCAGTTAAATGATTAGATTACGTGATTTTGAGGTAATGGGTGTGGCCAACATACTTAATGTCAGTTATGACAACAAACAGAAATAGTAGGTAGGAAGAGTCTGTTAGGTTGTAAAAACTCTTCTAAAACCCCTTTCCCGATTTTTCCCTGATATGCCTAGAAAAAAACAAGCCATGGTAGAAAAAGCAAGCCATGCCCACTGTTTGCTTATTTAATATTCCGTTTCTCTGAGAACTGTGTTCATGGGGACTTGAAAAAATATATTTTCAGAACTTTGATCATTTTAGAAGTCCTCTATAGCAGTGTTTCTAAACCCACATTTTCTATGTCTCCTTAACAAACACACCTGATTCAGACAATCAGCTCATTAGCAAAGACTGAAAGACCTCTAATGGGTGTTGCAGACAAAGGAGACAACCAAAGCATGTAGTGTTGGTGGTCCTCCAAGAACATGGTTGAGAAACACTGCTCAGAGCAGCCCTGACCTTTTTATCACCATGGATCTTTTTCTCAGAGGATAACAAGTTGACAAAACATTGCTGTAACCCTGATACAAGTTTTATATATGGGGAAAATTAAAAAGCATTGCAGTGTTTGGCTGTTCTCTGTTTGGCTGATATAACTAGTCTCTACCGAAATGTGTATAATTCAAGCAAAATATAAAGCTGATTTAGCGACGAATTGGTGCAGTAAGAAGGTTGCTGGTTTGAGCTTCGGCTGGGTCAGTTGGCTTTTCTGTGTGGAGTTTGCATGTTCTCCCTTTGTTCGTGTGGGTTTCCTCCGGGTGCTCTGGTTTCCCCCACAGTCCAAAGACATGCGGTACAGGTGAATTGGCTAAATTGTCCATAGTGTATGAGTGTGTGTGTGTGAATGTGGATGTTTCCCAAAGATGAGTTGCGACTGGTAGGGCATCCGCTGTGTAAAAATGTGCTGGATAAGTTGGCGGTTCATTCCGCTGTGAGACCCCGGATTAATAAAGGGACTAAGCCTAAAAGAAAATGAATTAATGAATGAATGAATGAAGCTGATCGGTCAGTTTTTGTCATGTGACTCGATGTATTCGGAAAAGTTGAGTTGCTTTCAACTGAGTGTGCCACTTGAGATCGTCACTTTCAATATGCGCATTCAAGCTGTGGGCCTCCATTGGAAATAATAAACTTGTCTGTGAAAAAGATGTGAAATGTAAAAAGCCCCATAAGGACACCATCATTTGCACAGACATGCTTTGTTGACAAACTACCAATTTTGCTAGCTTGTAGGTTAAATTTTGGGTCTCAGGTGACAGAGCTAAAGATAACAGAGAATACGGTGATTTTTCAAAATAAAAGATTTTTCTAAATAAAGGATCATTTAGTCTCAGATAAAAAAATAAAACAGAATAAGTAATGATTTCTTGTGCGGCCTGGTACAAATTGATCCACGCGCAACAGGTCTGCGGCCCGAGGGTTAGGGATCACTGTTCTAGAGTTAAACAGTTGAGTTTTACCTTTGTAGATCAATTCAACTGATCTCCAGACATGGCGGCAGGACTTTTAGCTTAGTTTACTGTAGCTTAGCGTAAATCATTGAAACTAATTAGACCATTAGAAACTCCCTCAAAATTTTCAAGAGAGTTTCACCAGAATGAGAGTATAGTCCCTTGCCATATCGACCTAGCCTTATTTTCATCCCTCTTCGTACACGATGTAACTAAAGAACCCAGCAGGCCAACATCAAGGTCCAACGTCCAACCTCAAATCAACCAGATATCAATATCTAATGATGTTACAGCTTGACGTTGTGTGGATGTTACCACTATGACATCTATCAGACATTGGATTTTGGTTGCCATACCTGAAGAATAAATGTCAATATTTGACATCAATGTGACGTTGGTTTAAGATGTTGACTCGACGCTGGATTTTGATCACTTTCCAACACAACCTGAAGTCAACCAAATATCAACACAGTTTGACGTCATTAATGTACGTCAAAATAACATTGTCCTTAGACGCTGATTATACATTACATTTTAGTCACCTGACATCAAAACCTAACTCTAAACTATAATTAATGTCTTACAACGTTGTGTGCCTGCAGAGAAAAGTCAACCTTTAAATAGAAAATGAAATAAACTTTTTAAAATTATTTTATACTTATTTATTTATTTATTTATATATATTTTGGAGCTTCTAAATTGCTAAAAAGATTTGCTTCACGTTACAATGAAATCTTGGCTAATAACAATACAGCACATTCCCCAACCTCTCAGACTATCCCAGGGTCATCTTTATTGTTGAACTCTGCTGTTAAAGGGTTAGAAAATAGTAAAGGCAGTACACATGGTGCAGAAAATTAATTCCTCCATCTGTTTAGTTCAACTTAGAGCTCAGGGAGTAGAAAATGCCCTGAGATGTCCTTCGCTGAAACCCTCCCTTGTGCTCCACCGCAGTCTAGCATTGCCTGTAGTGTCTCATTGAGAGTGCTCATTTCAGCCTGATAATGGATGAATCTCCTTCAGGACATGGACTCGCATGTTTCCTCCCTCCTGAAAGAGCACAGAGCCTTTTTTACCTCGGGCAGCAAGTCATGCGAGCGTTTTTGCCCTTTCGAGACTTACATAAATCATCATTTACAGCCGAGAAAAGCAATACACGTGTATGTGAGATACAAAAAAGCCTTTCAGAGGTGTAAAACTTCTCTTTTTCCCTGTCTTTCTTTTTTGTTTTCCCTACGGGTGTTCTGGTTTTAGGTGGTGTGTGTGGTGAAGAATTTCAAAGGGAAGCCCTTACTGAGTGAGATCCCACCAGAGGAGAGTGTATCCAGCGGTCCCATGATCACTCAACCCAGATTGGACCACACTATGGAGAAATACATAGCCTCCCAGGTATTCAACTGGAAGCCCGCATGTACACAAGAATCACTGAACCAGTAGTAAAACTATTAAAATTATTATTTATGGCCCAGTTTGACACTCAGGGCTTAGTTTGAGCAAGTCCTAGGCCTAAGTTAAACTAAGATATTTAAGCAGCTTTTTAAAAATACCTCAGAAAAGCACATTACTGGTGTGTTATCTTGAGACAAAGAAATGACATAGACATATTTGAAGATGTGTCTGTGTGTGATTTTAGTTAAAGGTGCAACAGGTGATTGTCTTAAGAAACAGTTTTTGTTATGCTGGTTGAAAGTGTCTTCATATCCTTATAGCAGTCATTTAATTACAACACAGGCTCATTGTGAATACATACCCCATCTACATTTCTGGAGAGTGCAAATTATGTAGCCAGAGGTATGTCTGACTACATTTCATCTTTAAAATGAATGCTATGGGGTGGTATAACACCGTCACTGGCTTCTGTTCCTTTTTGCACTCACAGCTAAGGGTGTCACGATCCTCCAAATCCTCGATTCGATTACATTTTCAATTCTAAAGACACGGTTCGATTTGATTTTCAATTATGAATAATTAATTAATTAATAACGAATTAATTATTTGTAGCCTACCGTTTAAACTACCTGACCTGCATGGTCTTTGTTTTACCCATAAACATATCATACAGTAAATGAATAAAGGCAAGTTACACACATAATTACCACCTGTCAGAGGGCTGCTCTGAAAAGCTACACGCCACTGTGGATGTCAAATCGTTGTCGTTCTAAAATGCCATTTAAAAACAAAGAGATATTCGTGTAAACAGGGCCTGAGTGTGTACTTTTCACGAGCGGATTTGCAACGGGGGCGGGGCGGAGGATCGCGATGCCGGTGTTGTCTATCGGACAAACCCTAATACGTACATAGCAGAGCTTGCAAAACTGTGTTTTTTTTTGTCGACAACACGAACGTTGTCAACATAACTCACTGGAAATCCAAAATGCTTCCACACCGGCGACTTCATTGAAAGAGGAGAGGGTTTAAGCTCTGTCGACGAGTCTCCTGTGTCTGTCGTTTAACAAGCACTTCAACAAGCGTGTTTTTTTCCCGCTTGGCAAGCCAAGCTGACGTGACATGGGGGCGTGGCAGCATTGACGATTCTATTTTTTTGATTCGATAATCGAAATTGAGCATAAATTTTGATCAACTTCGATTTAAAATCGAAATCGTGACACCCTTACTCACAGCTGACCCCTTATCTTTTTATGGGTGGCTTTTCCACTGTTATCAGTTGACCACAATGATAGGGTTTGGGTTTGGCAAAGAACGGTTCTACAAAGCAGGTAAAACAAAAACAAAAGCCAACAAATAAAATAAACAAGTAAATAACAGGGTGAGAACATGGGTAAGATCTGAAAATGTGGTTCTGAAAACCTGCATTGCTTTTAAAAAAGCTGTCAGTTGGGTTTAGGGAAGGTGGTGGGCAGGTCAATTGGTACTTTTGAAAACGCTATCGGTTAAGTTTAGGCAGAAAGAGCGGGTGCGAATGGCACTCGCTAGAGAAAATTAAGATCTGAAAAAACATACAGAGCAGCCTCTGGTGGATTTGTGAAAACAAAAACTGAAAGAAAAAAAAACATACCTCCTGGAATGTATTTTGCGCTCAACAGAAATGTATGCAGGGGTACGTATCCATAATAAGCCTAGGTTCTTAAATAAGGTATTCCAACAGTATGTATATGTATTTTTATGTTCTATGGAATATGTAGAACCAAGAAAAGTATGTCCTCTCAAAACATTTGTTCTGAACATTGTGATAGGCTGTCTGGCCTGATAACAAAATTTGTAATTGCATACCTCAGCACACACTGTTTGTGCAGTAAGGATTATGTCATTGGCAAGTTCAAACAGAGAATAGCAAGCAAACATCAACAACCTACCTTCTTTAAAGTTTAATATTTGAAATTGGAATTGCTAACTATACTAAAAAAATGTTTCTCTAGTGAATGTTACATGATGTAGTGAGTGATGTTGTCTAGTGCTTTTTCATGCATTTAGGAGGCGTGGCTTTGGTTGTAGATTTGCAGGGTGGGACATAGGCTTTCAGTGCTATCAGGCTTACATTAGTATTTCCCAAGATCTCCTATTGCTCCTTTAGGACAGCTTAAACAGTTTGGCACTGAAAGTCTGATGGTCAGCTCGACAACATATAGCTCAACTGCATTGCAGGTCTCTTAAGTACAAATCTTGACCCATGAACATTTACTGATCTTATCTCACTCTCTCTCCAACTTTAGTTCTTGTCAGAATTGACTGTCCTACTAATAGTAATAAAATGCAAAATATATATATATATTTATCAGGATAAAAGAATAGTTTAAACGTGTCATTTAAGTTGGGACTATCCTTAAAGGGACAGTTCACCCTAAAATAAACATTTACTCACTATTTACTCTCCCTGAAGAGGTTCTAAACATTTATGAGTTTCTTACTTTAAACACAAAATAAGATATTTCAAAAAAGCTGAAAACCTGTAACCACTGACTTCCTTAACAGGAAAAGCAAAAACTATGAAAGTCAATGTTTACAGTTTCCCAGCTTTCTTCAGTATATCTTATTTTGTGTCCAACAGATGAAGGAAACTCTAAACAGGTTTAGAAGCTCTTGAGGGTGAGTAAATGATGACAAAATTTAAAGTTCTGGTTGAACTATCTATTTAAGCCTTGTCTGAGAAACTGGGGAAGAAGTAATGAAAAACTATATTACATTTTCAATATCAAATTACAATATTTTTCCATACAAAATTGCCATTTTAACTTAGATTAGCACATAGAATAGTGTACATCTACAAAAATTTACAGATAAGATTGGGATACCAGTTCTCACATTTAACAGAATACAATTGTCACTTTTGAAGACTAGCACAAAGAATCAGTAAAGATTTAAGTTTCTGCAAGCAAGAAAACCACTACAGAGCTCTTTCCTATAACAAATGAGTATGTGAAGACAAACCCCATTTTATCATGTCGGTGAAGGCAAATGTTTGTAAATCTAATCATGAGAGATGGTTCTGGAAGGTAATTATATATTATTTGATGACTGACTTTTCACGCAGTTAGAAATGTTATTGGTTGGCCAGTTTTTTTTCATAGTGTGATTGGAAAGAGATCAGATGAATGTCTGAATGTCTAAATTTGGATATCTGGATGCAAATTGGATGTCTGAATATCTAAACTACTCCAATTATAGTGTTTATTGCCACAACTATTGGTCCTCTATATGTAAATTATGCTTAATATTATGGATGTATTATGCCTGTAGTGATAACTATATTGTAGACTAGTCTACACTAACAAATGATTGTGTTCTCTTTATTATAAATTCATGATGTAATTACATGATCTGTCACAATTATAAGTATTTCTTCGTGTCATTATCATTATATAGTTGTGGTGTGTTATTTTGTTAGTAGTTAAGACATGTTCAGACCCAATAACTGTAGCAGCTTTAATAGTATGATGATCATTAGCACACTTTTTATTTATGGTTTTACTCCACTTTGAATGTTCGGGCTGTCCAAAATATAAAAGAGTTGAATCTTCATACAGTTTGAATTGATAGTTTTCTGAAACTGAGATCTGAAAGGGCCTCTATTCTAATATGAATGAGCTTCTAACATATGTCTCCTACTAGATCACTCATTTATACTTAAAGAAAAAATGCAAAACAATATGTCAGCTTTATATGGGTCATCTTATGTGTTTGCCTGTGGCAGTTTTTAGTTCTTGCTGCATTACATTTCATCTCTCACTGTTATTCAAGAATGGAAAACCTTAAACAGTATTTTTTTTTAATGAAGGAATTAAAACAATAGATAAAATCACAAGGAATAATGGCTGTTTAATCAACAGTGCTTTCCTTTTAGCTTCTTTTTATTTTATTTATTATTTTTTAAAGTTTTGAACTCAAACATGGGTCACTTGGGTTCGTTACAGAACAATAAAATACTTTTGATGACATCCATCACATAGAACAGCTTTGGACACTGAATATTATGTTCTGAATGTTAAATGTTTTATTCCAAGTAAATCCCATTATTTCTTTTCAGTATGTTCATTTGGCTGCTTCGCCTCAGGCTACATTTTCTTGTATCTGTGTCACAAGAGATCAGAGTTAGTCACTGGGTTTATCTTCCAGTATTTAAAAAAGGAAGAAATGTTCACATGCGGCTGAATGAATGTTTTTGTCATGCTGTTTTAACCAATGCACTGCTTTGGTTGTTGTTTATTTCCAGGTTATATGAATAGTATGTTGTGTTTCAAATGTACAAAACAGATTTTCAATGAAATACCCAAGTCTCCATGTCAATGACTTGCTAAACTAATGCTATTTACATGAAGCCATGCATCTAAGTCCCAGCAGGTTCACTTATATGATTCCTTTATTTTCATAGTCATTTTTCACCACTTATGCCTTAGGCACCCACTGAGAGATAGGTAAGTTTTAGTCAGAATAGGGGATTTTTGTTAGGGAAAAAATATATAATATATCTATATCTAAATCTAATATATCTATATCTATTTAACAGAGAGATTTTTTTTCAGCACATTTCTAAACATAATAGTTTTAATAACTTATTTATAATAACTTATTTATTTTATCTTTGCCATGATGACAGTAAATAATATTTGCTATGTGAAAACGATCCGCACCAAGAATAAAGAGTAACATTGTAACAATTTGAATCCTATTTTTGAACAAAACAATCAATCTACTGGTGTGTAAGCACCCTTAAGCCTGGTTTATAATTCTGCATCAAGTGATCGGCGTGACCCACTGCGCATGCAATGCATGCAGCTGTGCATTCATACCTCTGAGCGCTGTTTCTGTTGCTCTGCAATAGCACTTCCGAAACGCTAGTTGGCAGTAGGGCTGCACGATTCTGGCAAAACTGTGAATCACAATTTATTTTTTATTTTTTTGCTAAAAATCAAGATCACGATTCTTTGTCACGA